GAGATGACAGCATACAAGATGGCAGTAAAAACATGAACTCTGACCTTTACAGGTGATACCCACTAGCTGAGTAATCTTATCTCCCAATCTCACTTATAATGAACCATGTTTCTTGGCATCCATTTCCCATACTCATTATAGTAATACTATCTTCTCTGTCTCTTCTTCATCTTATTTGTTTCTTTTATTTAACTTCTTTTGGACATCTGCTGGAAGCTCACTGCATAGAGGCCTAACGGCATTATAATTGACTCGTACTGCGAATTTGCGATGAATTTAACATACAACACAAAGACTACAGTTTACCTCAATCAATGCCATTTATTCTTTGACCTACATATATCTCGTCTGGATACTTTACAAAATCGGATACCAATGCTCCGGACAATTACTCCACAGTATATATGCTGGCCACCGTCCAACTGCCTAACAGTTGCTTTGTCAGCACTAAAATGGCATTATATGGCACACTAATATGTAAATTAGTCAATTCAAATTAATATGTTAAACAGATCATTGTTTCAACTGCCATTACAGGCATTATGCGCTATAATAATAAGTCTACATTCATTAGGATTAGAGATGCAAGAAATTAGTCATCAATAATTGGCATTGCTATAATAATTTTTATTATTGTTATGGATTGTGATTACCATTTGATGGTTATTTCTCGTTAAATTGTTATTTTAGTAAAATTACTTTTAAAGTAATACCATTATTATTGTTGTTACAGTATTTTTGTATATTATGCTAGTAGTTCAAAAAAGAAATTAATAAATAAAAAATAAAAATGATTATAGTGTATCCTGCTATACAATAGTACACGTTCTGGTAGTTATAGGACAAGAATGTCTTCTAAACCTTAGGTCAGCTACCTGGTTAGAATTAGTTAAATAACTTAGTCTTACGGAAATCCTAGTAGTCAAGAATGCTGACTAACCCATACTGACATTGCATTGACCTCTTAAAAGGTGAACACCACAGGTAGAAAAGCTTTGCTATACATAGACATATTCCTTGTTTAACACAATAGTACATTTGATTATTTAGTTACATGTCTTCCTCAATTCCTGAACCAGTTTATTTCCTATAGTATTTAATGCACTTCTTAGTATTGTATGAAACTAAAAGCATAAGCATATATTTAATTGCTTTATTGTCCAACAGCACACTCAACAGGGCTTAGGCATTGGAGCCGTTTTGTAGTAAGAAAAAAAAAAAAAACACTAAAGTGATAATTTTACGTCTTTCAACCATAAAATCCCCTTTTACCAATCATGGGTTTTACAGTACTCTGGCATCCTGATTTGGAGACCCTAGAAAGCCCCTTGTTTATGACCCCCCTGTTGTTAAAATCTCAGGACATACAACAAAATTCTCATCTTCAATATACTCAGTGTTGCATGTCATAAATAATTGGAAATTTTATATGCTATGAATTCCTGAAATGATAAACCCAATCAAGCTTAAAAATATTTCCAATATCGATCTTTCCAAACAATTACTGAAGACTTGCTTGTTTACCTAACCTGTCCCACTTTAATAATAAATATAAACTTAGTTTACTGTTGTGTGGTTGAAATGCATTATGGTCTCAGTTGTTTATGTCTGCAGTAACTTTTGTATATTTGCACTGTTTAGGGATTTTTGGGAAATATTCTGGTATCCACTGTTAACTACTTATTATTACTTATTATTACTTACTGTATTAGTCTTGACTAATGGACACATAGCTTCCACTTTGGAAGCAAAAGGAAAAGTACAATACTATATTAACAAACAGGGACTTTCCAGCACTAGTACAATAAATTTGATAATGATACTACTGTATTATAGTTTGGGATTCCAATTTAGTAGTGATAGTAGGATTTATGCTGCACATTTTTGCCAATGGTACTGCTGATTTTGTTATTATTACCCCCTGGTGTTTGTTGATTGGATCCATGCCATAGCAAAGCGGTAGGAAATACAACCTTCCCCACTCCCTGGAAAATATATTGTACCTACTGTAGTTGTGCTGGAATTTAATGTGCACAGACTAATACTTTCAATTCAAGCCACAACATCTTTACCAGGTACCCATTTATATTCCCTGGGTATCCTTACCCAAAGATATCAAGTGTACAGGACATTTGAACCTCGACCTCTTTGTTGAGACCCAACAGGCTCTAATGTCCCTGATGGGAACGTAAGTAGGTGTGGTGAGACGTCACTCAAAATCTATCGGAAGTAATCCAGCCCCAGAGACTATGACACTTTAGGGGTGCAAAGTCTTATTTAAACGACATTACAGTCAACAAATATGTATATAATTTTTTTCTTTCCTGACGGTGACCCTAACTCCCCCCTCCCCAGCACCACCCGTGGCATTGTCTGACACAGCTAATGCTTTGCACTTGACTGGTTAATTGCTTAGTCTTGATCTATACCTGTATTTCTTTTCATTATATATACGTGTATTTCTTTTCATTTTCTCCATTTTTTTAGTTTGTCCGCAACATACACAGACTTAACAGAATCCAGTTACCAGGCTGCATTCTCCTCTAAAAGGTGCCTGGCATGGTTTGAGGAATACAAGGACACAGATGACTCCGTAGGCCCGGAAGGAATGGAGAAATTCTGTGAAGATATTGGCGTTGAGCCAGAGAACATTGTAATGTTGATTATAGCATGGAAACTTGAGGCCTACCAAATGGGTTTTTTTACACTACAAGAGTGGATGAAAGGAATGTCTTCCCTACAGTAAGTAGTATATATAATGTGTTGATGTTGATGTGTTGATGTTTTGGCTAAGGTCAGGGCTGGTAAAGTGCACAACCCATGCTTAAAGGATTTGGGCATTTCCCCTGAGGCATTTGTAAGGGTAGGGGAATTTGTTTTTATTTATTTTATCTTCAGACTACTAGTGATTGGGCCATATAGGCCTAGTTCACTCTGGTACTTCTTAAACGTTAAACTTCCTAAATAATACTGCAGTATGATGTTTTAGCGCAGCAGTTGCAGTTCTGCTATCAACCATGAGGTCAGAGGTTCGATCCCTCGCTGTGCATTTAGCTTGAGTCCTTAGGCAAGGCACTTTACCCAGAAGTACAAGAGGGCACCTGGTAGGCTCAAACACAAAATAAGCTGACTGTGAATTTTTAAGTGTAAATTTGATGCAATTCAGATATTGAATAATGTTGAAATTGAAATTGATTATTGCTGCAATATTATAGAATTCTCCCCAGGAGAATCCATATTTGCATGATCCAATGACCGTGGGTAATAATGCGAAGCGCTTCTAAGTCTAAAATATTTTTATTATATTAATTAATTTTCTATGTTGTTTATTTTCAGGGTTGATTCCGTAAGGAAACTACAAGGAAAATTTGATTACCTCCGATCACTACTCACAGACCCTCCTACATTTAAAAGAATTTACAGATTTGCATTTGACTTTGCCAGAGTAAGTATACTAAGAAGGCATGGCACTCCAGTTAATTGCTCTTCTGAGCTTATATACCGGTACCAATACGTACATTTTCCTCAAGGTATTACATAATAATTATGTAATGTAATATAGTTGGAGTTACATAGCGCTTCCAACGATCTTAAAGTGCTGAAGGTGTGGACTATTTTGTACAATAACTTGCTTCTAACCTAAGGGTTTCTTTTTGTCTGAGCTAACTCTCGTCTGTCTACAACAGGGCTGTATGAACTAGTACACCGGGGTAACCCCCTACTCATCTTAAAAGATGTGCTGGGTTCTTTAAAGCGTACATTAGCCAAATTGTGTACACTGGACCATAGTCCTTATCCAAGAAGACTTGTTCCACCACCAGAACCATAGGGGAGCGTGCTACCCGTGCCTTAAATGCATTGATGAATCACATGATATTGATATTTAACTTGTTTGAGCAACGAACACCATGATAAATGTTTTTTAATGATTACTAAAGACCCTTGTTTACTATATTATTGTGTTTTTATTTCAGATAAAAGATCACAGGTGTTTAGACTTAGAGACAGCCAAAACAATGTTGCGCCTTCTGCTCGGTAGACAGTGGGTTCTTTTCAACTCATTCCAACAATTTCTAGATGTGAGTTAATTTTAATGGAAATAAGATTTTATAAAAACAAAAGATAATACAGTTGGGAAAGGATCAGAAGGGGCTTAATTACCATCCTTATCAACATCATCTTTCCACCATAAACAATATCGTCTACATAATAATTATTGATTTATTCTAATATACATTGGCAAATATTTAAGCATAATGTTTTTATTTTTGTTTGAGCAGCGGTCCAATTACAGAGTTGTGAACAAGGATCAATGGTGCAATATTCTAGAATTCAGCCGAACGATACAGCCTGATCTTAGCAACTACGATGAAGATGGTGCATGTAAGTCCGTCAATCAATCATTCACGTAACTCTTTCCACCCAATGAGGAGTATCGTACCTTATTACATCACATCATTACCAAAATCTGTTAAAGCCTGTTTCCTTAAAATCGCTACACTGTCACGACAGTGTTTTCAGTGCAATCGTTTCAATGTGTAGCAATTGGGAAGCTCCCGGTTTCGACTGACTAATCAGCGTCACCAAAAGCTGTCGATATATAGCTTGTAGCGATTGTATGGCAACCAAGCTTTAGGCTATTGCTCGTCTAGGCCTAAAGCCTTCTGATTGTAGTTGGCAGTCAGAACGAATTGTTGTTAAAATGATACATTGTGTGGGCGATGTGGCATTTCGGTTTACATAGAATCGCATCTGCTGACGACCATCCTGACTAAGGTAGCATTTGTAAATATCATCCTAGCCTATCTTTTCTAATATATTACGATTTCCATCATCAAAAACAGGCTCTATAAACTCCTGTAGTTCGGAAGACAGACGGCAGCCATTTGCTCCACCCCATAGTTAAGACTGTTAAAGCATTCCTCACAAATGACATTAAGTAACTTATCAGATCCGTTTTTTTTTTGTTTTTTTTTTTCTCATTAGGGCCTGTGATGCTTGACGAATTTGTGGAGTGGTTACGAGGGCAGTATTCATGAACAATGCATGTACCGTGTTGACTTGCATCTACCTAAACAGTATTGTGAATATAGATACAAGAACAGCTAACTCAGAGAACAAATATGCTCTCCGAATACGTCTATTGTGCGCAGGAAAAATATCTGCGTTAATGTGTACGAAACAACAGGCTTTACAGTCAATAGGCTTTATAGTACACATGTATAGTGGCGACTGGAAAGAGTATAACTGTTTTGTATCATATCGTTTCTTACAGAGTAACTGTAAAACAAAAAAATCTAGCGATATATACCATGTGAAAATGATAAGAAACAAATAATATTACACATCTTTATGTTTATCTTGTTTTAAGAAATGTTTTTTTACCTTAAGTTAAGATGATGGACGTTATGTAACTGTACAGTACACTAAGGCAGTAGCATTACACGTTAAGTGGTCTCTAATAAGATGAGAAGGGGAAAAAAATCTACGCTTCGGGTGATTTCCATCCTTCAGAATTTTAAACTTGCCTACCCCTGGTTAGTTGATTGTCAAGGTTTCTATTGTGATACGTATGATTGGAATCTATGAATACAATGTATGACACAAGGAAACATTGTCAAAAATATACTAACTGTATGCAAATTAATGCCTAATCATGATTTCTGAACCATCATACTTAATGCTATATAAACCACACGGAAGTCTTCATTATGATATATAACTATGGGGCAGTAGTCCGCCGTTGGGGTTAAATCCCAAAATTCACAATTATTTCTTTTTTTAAAGGAACAATAATTATCTTTGTTTCTAAGCTAATTTTTATCCTGCTTAATTGGTCAAAATATGCTGTAGTCTGACTAGCCTACAGTAATAATAATCACCATTTTAAAATCAATCTTTTGTTGTCTTCAGAACAGTGTATAGAATAACTAGTTAACATTTCCTATGATCACCACAATGTACAGTCCATCCAACTTCCTTCATAACCCATTTAAATTGTTAACAGTTTCTGCAATTACCATTCATAACCCATAACCGGTTAACAGTTAATGTAATATCTGTACTGCCCTCACTAGTAAAAAGTTTCCATAAACACACTATCAGGTTAACAGTTGCTGTGATCACTACCTACCCATGTAGGTAATAAGCATATGCCTAGGTGATAGCAAGCCTGTATACTGCCCTCACTGGTGAACAGTTTCCATAAACACACTATAAATTTTACAGTTCCTGTGATCGCTGCCTGCCCATGTAAGTAATATGTAGGCTGTGTAAAGCATTAGCATATGCCTGGATGACAGCAAGCCTGTATACTGACTGCCCTCACTGGTAAGCAGTTTCCATAAATACACTATCATTTTACCGTACTAAATATATTGATATTGACTAAAGGAGAATGTGATTCCGCTCCATAACTCAAATCATGCCAACATCCACAGTCCCAGGGTTGATTGGATTATTGAGGGGGGCGTTTATTCAAATTAGAAGGGGGTGCTTATTCGCGCGAGTACGATAACAGTTGCTAGGTCACTACCGGCCCATGTAAGTAATCGGTATGCTGTCTGAAGCGTTATCATATGCCTAGGTAACAAAAAAACCTGTATACTGCCGTCACTGGTAAACAGTTTCCAAAATCACACTATAAGTTTAAAAATTCCTGTGATCATTGCCTGCCTGTATACCACACTCACTGATAAATAGTTCCCATAATAAGGTTAACAGGTGTTAGATCACTGCCTGCCCATTAACTAATGTGTAGGCTGTCTGAAGCCTAGGTGACAGCAAGCCTGTATTATACCACCCTTACTGGTAAACAGTTTCCATATAAAGGTTAACAGGTGCTAAATCACTGCCACCAGCTACAGTAGTTAAAACAAATTGTGTCGATGTCTTTAAAAAAAAACTATTAAGCTCTGTCTTATCATGCTATCGTGTTTTATTGCGGACCCATATATGTGTAAATCATATATGAACACAATAAAGTCACAGGCAGGCTAAGTATGTAAATAATTTTTTTATCTTCTAAATATTCTGTAATTGTATTTCATGAAGATCTTATGATATTTTCATCGCAAGAAATATTGTTTTTAAAAAATAGTTATTTTACCATAGCTATCTTCCATATAATATTTTGTGCATAAGTTTGCATAAATTAAATGCTGCCTTTCATATCTATGTTATATCTGTTGCACGAATCACATGTTGAGAAGTAATTTCATTTCAATTCTGACAATATAATGATTGTATTTTAATGTCTTTTTGTGGTTACTGGTAAATTTACATTAAGGTTATACTTTCCTGGAAGTCAGAATTTTAAGGGGGATTTGTTATTTTCTGTTGGAGTTAAGATCAATATGGCAAAATATGCAACAAAATATGGGGAGGGGTTAGTTGGGGTAGCCTACAGTTGTTGGCTAATACTGTGAATGATCAGAATATAAGTGCTTCCCTTAATGATGTGCTGTACTTGTTAAATACATATACTATTCTTATATACCCAGTGGTATAATAATTTGCCAATCCAAATAACGTTATTTTTGTTATTTTGATTGCACAATTTGGACCAAAACAAAGCCATAAAAACCCTATTAGCGCTCATTTGATCATTTGCAGTATGTGTTACTGCAACACAAATTAGACAATTTTTACAGGGAAAATAATTATTTTCTGTAGTATTGTTATTATTTGAATAATAAATATGTACAAATTATACAGGACAAGAGTAGAGTTGTATTTTTGTTTCCTTGTGGGTATATTTATTGTAATCTTGAGTGTTCTGCCCAGGGGGGTTGAAGTGGGGGATGATTAGGTGATTTTTTTTTCCTTTGAAAATTTTCAATGGGGAGAGTGGAATCTTCCAGTCATACAAGCATGTACTTTAATACCACTTCAAGTGATCATCAGATGCAACCATGCAAGGTTATTTGATTGCGATGAATAAAAGCACAATATCCTACCATCCTAAACAATAACGTTTTACTCAGGGGGTCCGGCTTCCCCCCCCCCCCCTTCCTGTTGGCAGATTTCTGAAGCCACCAGTAGGTTTGATGTTGGCAGGTGCCTCGATCTGCTCTGTTCCAGTATACAGCTATTACAAAATACGACTAATACACACGTACGTGAACAGAGTACTGAATATGTGAGGTTATTACAAGTACGACGTTTAATACAAAAAAACAACGTAACATACAAGGTGCGTTAACGTGCCTGCATGAAAAATTCAACTTTTAACGGATTTTTGGTCACACGCCTATGTGAACAGAGTGCAAAAAGTACGACAGCTTAAATAGGATGATTGTTACAAACTGCGACTTAACCGACGTACGGTAACGTGCCTGAGCAAGAAAATTCAAACTTTTAACGCGGTTTTCGTCACACAGCTATGCATTTGTCATATCGAATTTAATAGTATGAACATAGTGAAGACGATAATAAAATACGAAAATTACAATAGATGTAACATAAACGCAGTGGCGGATCCAGGGTTCGGACGAACCCCTCTCTGTGAAGAAACGTAACAAAATACAACTTGGTCCTGGCTTACTAAAGGCATGCTAACCTACCTAGGTATAGGTTGGAAGATCAGACAAACTAGGCTTAGCCCAACTAGTTTTAAATTAAATAAATTGTAGGCCTATACACTGTTTTTGGGTTCGCCGTCGTATATGAACGAAAGTGCGTTCTTCAGGCCTATCGGTTCATCGATCCATGGAAGAAAGACTACATATCTAACTACTCAATGTTGTTGGAATAAATAATAATGTAGCCTATTGCCTGTCTTTGATTTTTGTTATATAGGTCTATGATAGGCCTAAAGAATGAGATAAAATTACCAGACATTTTTTTTTCCAAGAGAAAATTTTGAAGAACTTAAAGAAGGTCAAAAGACTCCTCAGAAGTCGGGAATGTTCATTCCGGCCATCTAGGAATCAAAGTTTTCCCGGTTGAGGACCCCCTTTCATTTTGGGTGTTTTTTTTTTTTTGTTTTTTTTTTTGGGGGGGGGGGTTGAAATATTTGAATCCCCCTCTTTTAAATCATGGATCAGTGCCTGAAAATTAACGCGTTTTAGGTCCACAATCATGTGTACATCAGCAAATTTATGGAGCCACCATTATTTATAGGAGTATCAATATACAGTACTACTAACCGTTTCAAACATGCACAGTAAGGTGATGTTTGCCATATAAGCCTACCTCTCACTTCTAGAAGTAAACTGAGGAGGACTAATGCTCTTTTGGAGTTCTTTTCAATTATTAAACTCTAACTTGCAGTGATTGCACCGGTTATCATCATGTGACTTTATAAAATTGAACAAAACAAACACAAAACTAACAACCGAAAATGCTCGAATAAGCGCCGTTGCGCTTATAAAATGTTTGGAGGCTCACAGTGCGGCGCTTATAAAAAAATATTGGCCGGCGCTTTCCATGCCCGTGCCCATGTTACCTATTTCACGTATTCCTGTATTTCAGCAGACCTATCGTAGGTCCTATGATCGTAAACAAACGTTTATAAAGAAATGCTTGTGTCTTCAATGTATTATTTATTTTAACACTGCATACATTGTATTTAAAACGCTTATTCAAGCATTTACGGTACAGTACAATAATAGGCCTTATTATAATAATTATAACAATAAAACCATATAGACTAAATCGACTTTTTATCTCCATATTGATTTATAATATCAATTATATTAGAACAGGCATTATTGAACGATTTTCAGTTCTACAGCTTCAAATAAAATGAAACAAGGATTGTGTTTATTCCTTTTCTACTACACTCTGGTCACAAGCCGTCTTTCGACACATTCTCAGCCTTTTGTTCTTCACTGACCATACCGCATGAATACCATATCACAACAAAATGTTCTCGTACTGTTTGGCTTAAAGAGCATAGGGGCCTATAACAAATCAAAACCCCCGTCCCTAATCCCTGATTTACATGATAATATCTCCAATAGTTACCTTAGTAGCAGTGTTGATATAAACATCCCGAATATACTATAAAAACGATCCAAATTGTGCTGTTTTCTGATAAAATAAGGAGCTCGACAATTGCCTTACGCGTTCTTCCACCTGCATTCCAAAGCCTATACAGGTGCTGCGACCAGGATATTGAATAAAAATGACATTTAGATCACAACACACATTACGACGGTGTTTTAATCACTATATCATACATTGGATGGCCAAACCATGCTTAGTTTAAGGAGTAGGATTAGTTAAGTATCATTTTTGTATTCTTATATGTTAAGCGCATAGAGGTCTATGTGATATGCGCTCTATAAGTCGACCATTATTATTATTATAGGATACCGGCTTATGTTTGAGTCTCAGTAGAAGGGAAATCAGATTTTCCGTCCTTGGGTAATTCATTAAGAGACAGTATATATATATATATATATATATATAAATTAGGCATCCATGTGATTGGGGCACGTATGTTCCGGTCCTATCATATGTAGTGAGACTATCACGAGAGACAGAAAATATACACGAGTTGTCGACCCATCAAAATTATCAAAATATTAGAAGTAATAAATATAATAAAGAAAATAATAGCAATAATAAAAATAATAATGGCGGCTATTTTAATACATAGTAATAGAAATGATATAATGATAAATCATGGTAAATAAAAAAAATGGTAAATAAAAAAAGCACTTAATAAAATTACCAGAAACGTGTCAAAATAATGACAGCTGTTTTTCACATAGTGTATTTTACATACCGTAGTGTATTTTATTAAGTGCTCTTTTCTAAAGGTTGTAGGTGTATATAATGAAGCAGGTGAATATGCAAAATATAATTGTACCTTTTTTGACAATAGCTCGGTTCTGTTGTTTAGTATTGATTATCTGTATACGACTAAAGGAAGTTTCTCGGTAATTACAGTGTTTGGTTTTTTTTTCGATACCTTCAGAAAAATGGGATAATCCAAGGGTAATTGGAAGGTATTCGGAACACTTTTTTTTCTCATTTATAATCATATCTATTGTAATTGTTTAGTCAATGAAGATGTGTTATTATTTGTTTAATAACAATTCTAGTTTCCATTAGTTTAATTCTGAAATGTGTAAATTATTATCATTTTAACGTAGGCCTACTGCAATTCTCCCCTATATTTTTAGTGGAAGTTTGTACTTAGGGGGGTTTTTGGGTCCCTCCGATGCAAGTTTTTTTTTTCTAGAGGGGATCCAAGATAATAATGCGATGATTTGAGCTATTTTTTTTTCGCATCACTTTTCTTACCAATATTTGTTTTTGTTATCATTCATTATTATCTGAATAAATATATTTAAAATAAAATATATAGGACAATGCTCTGTCAACAATGAACCATTTGATATTGTAGGGCGTGTTGCTTTCTTAAGATTTCTAAACGTGAGAGCACTGTGCTGTTTCTGTGTTTGAGGGTGATGCCTAATTGTGTTCTGTGTTACGGGTTTTCAACTACATATTTTGAGCTTGACGTATTTCGTGTCATTGCTTGAATGAACAATGGCTTTGTCGATGATAGAGGAGATGAGGCAATTTCCCTAAAGTGGGCATTAATCTATTTTCTGGCTACGCAAATTAAAGTTGCACTGCATTTAGAATTGCTACATCCTTAATTTTCTTCACCTCTGCCCCAACCATTGAGCTGAAGTGAGTGTGGACACTTCTTATACTTAGCCCCTCTCCCTCCCCATTCCCAAAATCTCAATGCCATTCCATGATCAATGACTCTAGCTACAGGGCTGGTCACGTCACACTAAGCAATATGTTTTATGTCCACTCTCGAATTGCGTGGTGGCATATACAAGACTTATTTATTTCAACAATGTTTGTTTAGTATCATTGATAATATTAAATAACCGACTTCCCACGGGTGAAATACTACTGTATAATGGTTGCAACAAGTATGATTGAAGCCTATGACAATCACTGTAGGCCTATATACTCGCGTATAAGACGAGGCTTGAAATAGCAAATTACGATCGAAAAAATAGAATAAACTTGTAGATATTTTAAATCATGTTCGTCTTATGTGCGGATTGTCCGTAACACGCGAACTTACTGCAATGAAGCTATTTATTGTTAGTAAGATTGAACGCAATTTTAAATACGGGGAAATAAGATTTTGACGAACAATTAAAAACTCGTACAGTAATATGGTAACATTTGGAAGATTAGCCTTGCATTTGGCTCCGTTTTTAGCCAGCTAATTGCAGTATCAGGCCCATAAAAGTAGGAATTCCGACCATGACACGGAAGGTCGTCTTATACCCCCACCAACCCCACCAACACACAATACAAAAATCGTTAAAAAAAATCTTCCCAAATTCTGGGGTCGTCTTATACGGGGAGTCGCCCTATACGCGAGTATATATGGTACCATTTTAGCACTACATTTTACAGTACATTAATCTTCAACAAACACCACACTATAAGACATTGAAAGAACAAGTCAACACGAGCACTTCTACAAATCCATTTTAATTCACTACGTACATAGACAACGAATATGCACTTCTAAAAGTGTCTTACTAACAGTTGGCAACCTGCAATTTATTTACATGCACCACTTTTCATGTGGCACTTTAGACATCCATAAAAAAATGAACTGTACTCCATTGTTCAATCTTCTTAATGCTTTTAACATTTTTTTTAAAACAGTAACATTGGTAATTGAATATTTTAATTTATTATAACAATAAATAGAAAAATGAAAAATTCATTAACAATAAAAATGAAATAATAATAGGTCTAATACTGTACCAATAAATAATAATAATGATGATAATAATAATAATAATAATATTAAGGACAACGTAGTGAAAGGCTACTAATGAAACAGGATTATGTAACGTAGACCTTTTTTTTAATAAAACATGAAATCAGTTTTAAACATATCAAAAATTTAGATTTTTTATGTATGTACAAACAATTTTTTTCTAATAGGCAGTTGAAAGCAATTAGCACATATTTAATGGTTCTCTCGCCTAGTCCCTAACCCTACACTTTAAAAAGGTCAGTATATTCACAACAGAGAATGCTGGTTGATAGATGCTTATTTCACATTTTACAAATTTAATCTTTCACATTTTAACAGTTTTTAAGTGATGAAGGAGAAAACTACTATTACTATTATTAAATAATGTTAAATAAAAAAATAATTTAACAACATCATTAGAATTTCTAGTCATATTTAGATGTGCATTACTTTATATATTGTTTGTGGCTTTCAAGTATTATTAGGAAAAGCTGTTACAATGAACGGCATTGCTGGGGTGTAGAAGCAGTGTGTGATGCTAATGGCTCCATCAGTTCCACTTATCTACTTTTACATATTGGTCCTCATCTGCTCAGTGGATTAATGCCATCTTTATTTCTTCTTTTTAGGGCGCCCTCTGTTGTCTGGTGTTCCATCAGCTTTACGTTTCTCACCCTTAGACTATGGAGAAATAAAAAAATCATAACTCCAGTTATTGGGTCAACAATTAATATAACACACTTCAGGCAAAAACAATAGATGCTTTTGAAGAATACTATCTCTTTTTGGAAGGCTAATGCTTTGTCTAGATTATCAAATTTGTATGCCGCCCATATATAGTAATGATGTGCCTATATATGGTCATGATGTGATGTCATGACCATATTTAGGCATGACACTATTGTTGTCTAGATAGGGCTACAATAGTAATGATAGTAATAAAACCAATATCATACCTTGGGTGTCCCTAGACTGCCCTTTGGTCTTCCTTTCTTCTTCTCCTGTTTCTCCCTTTCTTCAAGTTCTTGGTTTTCACGTTCAATCAGAGTAATCAAGGTGTTGCAGCGTCGTTGCAGCTCCTGTCAAAGGTCAATCAAAGGGCATAATATCATCATCATCTCTGTATCATTATCATATCACATCTTCTTAATGGTTTTCTGGGTATCCTTCCAGATTGTGTCAGTGACAGCTAGGGCAACAGTCTATGCTGAATGTAGTCATATTTAGGCAAAACTTTCTTAATACCTTGTTTAGAGAACACTCCAACCACCACAATGTTGATTTCAAATAAAAATAACATTAATTCTTCTCCAGTTAGCACACCAGTATATTTTAATTATTATTATTTTATTATTATTATGCCCTCTGTTCTCCTAAAATCTCCAAAAATAATATATATCTATACCTTCCTTAATTATATAAATTTAAAGCAATTATCAATCTCATTACTACACTGTTTACATTCACCAGTAATTTTTTTTTATATTTTTTCCTCTACATAAATGCTTTGGCAAATTAATTTTGCTAAATTAGAAAACAAAATTTTACTTGTTTTTGCTGCAAATCCTTTCATGATCTTAGAAAAAATAAGTTCGCTAAACAAGCAGAAGTCAAACATTTTCTTACCATAGCAGTTCGTGATTTAATAAACCAATCAAATCTAAACTGCGGAGCTTGACGTACTGCAGTTCGAAGTTCATCGTACACATTCTCCTTATCGAATCCCAGCTTGTGCAGCATACACACAAGAAATCGATCTTCTTCTTCAGTCCAATTCTTTCCTTTGTTCGTACCGTATGCAATGCGGAGCTGATAAAATGGAGCACGGTATCTGGCCATCTGTAAACAAAATGAAAAAAGTGGTAGTTAAAATTATCTACTTGTCCACTTACAATCTTTAGTTTTCACTTTGTATTTTTAGATCAATACTAGTTTACCTGCAAAGAGCCAGCCTCTGTTAGGCAGTTGGAAAATTGTATGGTACTCTGGGAGAATATTACCAACAGGGTCTTTTTTTCACAAGAAGGGTCTTAACATAGAAGATGCCAACAGCAATACCTGTTTTGTTATGTCACTCATATTCTTCATACAATTAACTTTCTTTCACTGTGGTTTAGGCTACAGACCATAATTATTGTAGGGATCGTGAACTAAAACCAGGGATACTCAGTACCCGCCAGACATTGACGATGCGATTCCATGGAATGCAAAACGACGATGCATGCACAATGAATTGCTTTTTTAACGATGATCTGCTCAGGATGCCATCAACAACCAGCAGATGGCGTCTCGTCATCAAGTGCCTAGTGGAGATGGGTTCGTTGGCTGACAGTAACACAAGGCAGTGTGTGCCGGTTTCATTGTGCTCTTGAGAAGTAAACAGTGAACTGATAAAATACCTTAGCATCCAGGGCCTTCTTGATGCTGATCTTGCGCTGAATCTTGGACTCTCCTCTCTCGATTTGTGCCAGAATACGATCAATATCTTGAAGTTCTCTGCAACGTTCCCAGAACACTGCCATGTACTCTTGTACCTGAAACAAGTTAGAATGATTATATGTTTGGTAAAAAGACACCTTGCTGACAAAGAAAATTACCACTACTAAATCAAAGCAATGATGATGTGATATAGTAAATAAGGTAAGGCCTTTACATTTTAATTACACACATAACATCATGGTCGTCAACATCGTGATCATCATTAACCTTGTCATTTACTGTTTCTTATAACTCCTGTGTGGACAAAATTAACTCTATTGAAAGAATTACTTCTGTGGGGATAGAATTATTTCTCATAAATTCTGTACTATACAGAAGTATGTATGATGCAGAATTCATTCTGCCAATAGTGCAATCACCTCTTCTGGTGTCTTGCCTTCGATTTCTCTTGATATACTCTCCAGATCATCCCTGCCATACTTTTCATTTGCCTTGATAAACTGATTGAAGTCTCGTTTTGACCAGTTGGTAAAACCCTATTAGAAAACAAAACATTAATTTTGATAAAATATTATTCAGGGATTAAAATCATCAACAATACACAGTAGGCTTAGTAAAGCTTAGTAAAGCAAGCATACTATACCCATGGAATATCCAGCGTGGGATTCACACCGATAAAATAAATGACCAATGACTAATAGAATGTACTCTTGAAGTTTGGAAACCACATTATCATTAACATTCAAAACACAAAATATTTATGATTAACCTAAAATATTTAAGGCATTTGGCTGGTGCATGTATAATTTTAGAATTGATATTGCTATAGTTTTACCTGCTCTAGCAACTTCTCCTTTTCTTCCAGCTCTTCCTCTGTTAGTGGTTCTGCTTCATCAATCTTCCTCTGTTCTTCCTTACGAACCTTCTGTGCATCCGGTATCTCCGGATTCAGTGGCACCTACAGAAAATGATATTCAAATTAATCATCTGACAACTATAATTTGTAAAACATGGATGTATGCAGTGGTAAAATAAGTACTCTCTTCTCTTTGCACATCTAATTCGCAGCAGTGATAAAGGAATGAGAATGAATATATGGTAGTAGACTCAACATGCAATACTCTGAGATGGATGATTCTATTATCTTTACAGGGTGTTCTATTTAAAGGGAAAATGGCTCCTTAATGCTTGATAAACTTAAGTCCAATTATCAATGGTAAGACTCTTAATTGCCATCAAAACAAGCCATGAAACTTGTATGATTTAATGGAAACACAACACAACCAGGGGCGGATCCAGAGATGTCCGAAAGGGCGGGAGGCGATTGAGACAACGCTACACTATGGGGTCTGCAGGCATGACCTCGCGAAATGTTTTGGGCTATCAGTTATTTTTGTTTTCTTCTTTCTTTCTTCCTTTTCATAAAATAAACTCTGTAAACAAAAGTTAATTATCAAAATTAGGAAGTCGAGTTTACTGGTCGTTGAAACAAATCACAGATCTTGTAGGATTTGAACCCAAGACCATTGGATGGTGAGCTTCTCAAACACCTAGCTAGATTTCCATTTCATATTACAATACAGAATATGTTTTAATTACCTTGTAGCCTATGGATTTCCGGAAGTAGTGAATCTCAGAGTCAAGGAGTTCAAAAAGCCTTGGCGGGAAAAACTGGAAGTCTTGTACGTTTGGTTGTTTTGGGGGTCTTGGTGCCTAGATGAACACACAAAGTTACTGTCAATATTCATTGATAAAACATTTCATAGACAGAATCTATAATACAGGGTGGTGGTAGAAATAATCTTTGAATCATTATTACATATTTCAACAATACTGTTTATAAAGAAAATAGATTTTATAACAATAATCTGATTAGTACCTTTGGCGCTTTTGGCTCGCTGACACGTAATGCTTCCCTAAAGTAGGCATCCACCGCGTAGTTCGCTTTACGCTCACGCTTCGGTGGCTCGATCCAGTGGATGCCGGTCGTTGACTTCTGTTTACCCTTGTAATCTTCACCTTCAAATGAGTAGATACTGGTGCTCGTCTGCTGTTCCTCGAGACTGAAGTTACGAAGGGCGCTCTCACCAAGATCATCAAGTTTTTTGCTTAACTCCTTAGTCTAGATAAATACGAAAAAAGTAAATTTAATCAATCTTGAAAAAAATAAACATCTCAACTACACCATTACTCTGACGTATAACTAATACAATTGGGTGTTATTGTATGTATTAATTGGATTAGGACAATAAAATCCAATCAGAATTGGTTTTAAAACTGGTGTGACATTAGCCACTGCCAATAATTTAATGAATATGTTCCACTTACTTTAGTCTCTCCTTTCTGAAGGATAGCATCAATATCAAGATCGGTAATTGTGCTTTCTTTTCCAGAGAAAATAAAATTAGCGCCGTGTCGAATCATATTCAACGCCTCATCTTTGCTCATCTTCACGTGGGAGTCGACTAAGCGCCCCTGTTGGATTACGATACCATCCAGACGAAGCTTCATCTCAGCACGCTCAATGATACGCTCTTCTACGGTATTCTCGGTGATAAATCTAAACACATGCACCTGTTTCTTTTGTCCAATACGATGCGCACGATCCTGGGAGAGACGAAGATAGGATCAACATTTAATATTATATATTATTTTTACTGACTTTTAAAATTCAAAACCCACACATATTAAACTTATATTTTTCTCTGGAGCAAACACGGCAGCAAAAGGCGTTTTGAAATCACAGCTCACTTAGATAAGCTGACAACCTAAACAAATGAACAAAAAACAAGCTAGTAAGATAATAAACAGATGTTAAACTATTAGAATGTTTATGTAATGACATGTTATCTAAGAAATTACAATGCATAATGTCTGATGCTACCCACCCAGTCCATGATGCTATTACTCTCAGTAAATCTGGTAGATTAATTCACCCTAAAGTTAAGACTAACCAGTTTAACAATTCGTTCATTCCAATACTAGTCAGACATTTTTATATGCAGTTCAATAGATAGTTTATCTTGCCTTTCCATCACAACTCAGTAATCCTTGCAATGTATTTTTTAAATTTAAGCAATTTCTGTTGTGCAACTTGTATATATTTTAATTATCTTTCTATATTTTTTTTTTACTAATATGAGTGTATTTAAGGATCCATATCTTGTGGCTGTATTTATACCGTTGTGACAATAAAGTTTTATCATATCGTATCGAATCAAACCCAAATTGGAGTGAAATTAAATTTTATAATATATAAGAAAATGAACAAATAATGAAATAATTACCATAGCTTGCAAATCTACTTGTACTTAAATTGGAAATCATCATTACCACCAGGGGCTGGATTCGCAAAACAAAGTCTAAAATAGTGTTGCCTCAGTTATATATATATATATATATAATGTAAAAGTTAATAATTATGAATAGCCAAAGAAAGATTTTCTCAGGAATAAACTCGGCACCACAAGGTGTTTTGAAATCGCAGCTCACTCAGATAAGCTGACCCCAAATTTGAGTGAAGTTAAATTTTATAATACATAAATAAAGTTAAATAATGAAATAATTACCATAGCTTGCAAATCTACTTGTGGATTCCAGTCACTGTCGTACAATATGCAAATGTCCGCTGTAGCCAAGTTGATTCCAAGGCCACCGGCTCTGGTACTCAACAAGAACAGGAACTTCTCACTATCCGGACTGTTGAACTCATTAATACTTGCCTGAAAGAAATAATTGCAAAAATATTAACAATAACATACAACACGTACAGCTATAATATCGGCGCTGGTTTGAATGGCAAGCTCGTCTATGGTTCTAGTGGTGGAACAAGTCTTCTCATAGGCCTAGGGTACATAACTTGGCTTATCCAGTACATTTTTCAAGACAATTATTACCCCGGTGTACTGGTTCATTTAGCCCCTGCTGTGGACAGATGACCGTAGCTGGTACCGGTTTACCAGGTAGCTCAGACACGAAGAGACCCTTAGGAGAGAAGCAAGTTACTGTATGAGCTAGTCCACACCTCAAGCTATTTGAGACCGTTTCGGTGTAAAGCGCTATATAAATCTAATAACGTTACATTACATTGTTTTTGATATTGGAAGTGCTAACCTCCCAATTCCATGATTCTGGGTTCAAATCCTTAAATTTTAAATTTGTCAGACTTCAAAATGTTTGATAAGACTTTGAAATGCATGCTTACTGTTCTTTCTTCATGAGGCGTTTGACCGTCCAGTCGGCAATACTTAAATCCTTTCCACGAGCAGTAATCTTCCAGGATGTCTAATACACGGGTCATCTGGCTAAAAATCAGGACACGTGAACCTAGAAATAATGACAATACACAAGTTGATAAAAAACATTCAAAAAGCACTAAATGATGTCAAAGGTAAAGTTCAAAGTTCATTATCTGCATCAATGCCCAACAAACAGATGTTTATCTCTCAGACATGCTTGATCAGACTTTGACTGATAGAGCATGAATTGAACTCAGGAAACAGGAACTGGAAGAGGTACCACCAAGGCATCACTAGCTAGAGCCTCACTCTGCTAGATTAACTAGATTTACTACTCTGCCAGCTAAGCCTTACTCCACTAGAGACTCTGACAGATATTAGCTAGGCCCACTCTGTTAGCTTTAGCTAGTGGCACTACAGTAACTACAGCTGCCTTCAGCTCCACCCTGCTAACATAGCTAGTCCCACTGGCTAGCTACAGCCCCAACTTGCCCTAGCTCCACTCAGATACAGCTCCACTCTATTAGCTACAGCTCCGACTCCTAACTATAGCCTAGACAAATGATGAGTGATAATTTTTGCTCTATTATACAAGAAGTACGCAAGTCATGTTTACCTTGTTGTTTCAGCCTTGTTAATAACTTATCCAGTACAACCATCTTACCACTGTTGTCAACAAGATGCTGATCAGTGGTGTAGGGAGGGCCGGGCTCTGCACCGTCAAATAAGTATGGATGGTTACTACATTTACGCAAATGCATAAGGATGTTCATTAGACGGATCTTCTCGGTTTTACCGGCGCCATTTACAACATCGATGTCCTTCATTAGAATCTTTGTATACCTGAAATCAAAAATTCCAACTCCATGTTGTTACAGTATTAACTAGAGCATTTAGTCCATAGTGCATACCTCTGCCCTGTGTCTGAATATCAACAATAAGCATGTTGTGTATGATGAGCAAAAACTGCAGCATACCTCCAAAAAAAACAATGGAATCGCCAATCGTATTCAGGTACATTATTTTCATGAGTGCTGCCTGAATATGACTGGCGATTCCGTTATTTTCTTTTATGCCTGCAGGTACATAATTGACTTTTCTTTCAAAAATTGAATGGTAATGGTATCTTTCCACTAAATTTTATGTATAATGATCCATTCATTAGTTCTTGTGTAATAAGAATGCAGTAACCATGATGATGATAGTTCTAATAAAATACTAATAATAAGTAACAATAATAATGTTAGTAAGTTATTTTGTATCTGTACGGTAGTGTATATACATTTTCTAATACAGCACATTTTCTTCGTTGTTAAGTAATCAAGTAATGGAATTGAGAATAATTTTTTTTTTAATTGTTAAATATCATTTTATAATTTCAAGACATTTTATGATTAACTTAGGAATGTTTTATATAACATTTTTCAGAAGTTTATGTTATATCTACTTATGTTTTGGAAGGGCTCCCACTCGACAGTAAATTGAACCATGTTTTTTGCAGTCCCCTGTCCCTCATATTTCAATCTAATCTTTTCCTTACTGCAACTGTTTTTGCCAAATATTATGTATTGAGACAAATAAATGAAATTAAAAACATAAATATTGACATAACAATAAATGACCTCACCATTCTCTCTGCATTTTACTCAGACCAACGTAAATCTTCACCTCCTTCTTTGGAAGTAGAGCTTTCTCTACATCACTCTTTAAACGTCGTAGCAAGAAAGGACGCAGTACCTAAAGATGGACACAAGAATAAATCTTATTCAATAGTTTATCCAATCCTAAGAATTTTTACTTAGATCAGCAAATATTTCTGTAGAAAAGTAATGAATTCTTTGTATATTTTATGTTGGAATAACATTTAATTGACCGCAAAAAATTCCTAACCAAAATAGAAAGCACAATAACAAGAATGTAAGTAGCTAAGAAAAAGACCAAAAAATTATTTTTTTAGGCAGTAGCTAAATTTTTACACCAGTCTTCAACAAATTGTATGTTTACTGTATGTATGAATTGAATTAGGGCAATATCACCCCATTAGAATTAGTTTCAGACTAGTTTAACAATAGCCAAAGTCTTTTTAAAATGTGGTCTAAAGAGCTGTAACCACATACATTGTGAAGTCTCTCAACCAGCTGCTTGTCATCCAGACATTGGCTAGTGCTGAACCACGAGTCAAAATCATCGGATGAATTGAAGACGTCAGGGAGCAGGAAGTTCAGAAGCGCCCATAGCTCGTGAAGGTTATTCTGCAGTGGTGTGCCGGTCAACAGCAGACGATTTGTTGATTTGAATTCACGAACAATTTCTGACAACTGCAAAGAAAAATGTTAGTTATGAGAACGCGATAACAACTTTTTACAGTTCTAGCTCAAAATGCATGCCTCATACCACTTGAAGGATGGAAATTACAATAAAGTTACCATATTTACTCGAATAAATGCCCCAGGACCCTTATTGTTGAGAAAAGTTTTTGTTGCGGCATTTATTCAAGAGAGGCCATAATTTTTTTGGGTGTAAAATGAATACCTATATACTCAAATAAACACCCCTTAATTTCAATGTAAATGTGGAAATACAACACATACCGTAGTTCCTCGGGTATAATCCCAATCCTGACTTTACGCCCAACTCCGCGTACAGGCATTTCCCCGGGCAAAGTCCCAGGGTATAATTTAGGTGAGTAGGCCTTGCCTAGGTATAGGCCCAGGTCGGAAAATTTAACAAATGCTCACAAAATATAAAGGATTTGGCTCTGAATTCGGCAGACCTGAAACTCTTCCAATTGATTAGACCAGACATTGGTCGTCGTAAGGTTGAATACAAAGCCCATTCTTGTAAATTCTTGTTGTTTACTCAGTACTGTCGCTAAAATAAACAACCTCGCTAGCTGCGGCTAAAAATAGGCAACACTGCGGTCCGTCCCTGAAGAGACACGCACAGTAGGCTGATAGGATTGTTAATTCACAGCGTGAAGACTTACGTGTTCCACAACAGTGGCTAAAAATAGACAACACCACGGTCCGTCTCTCAAGAGACCCACTCAGCGGGCTGATCGGATCATTTATTCACAGCATGAACACTCACATGTTCCACACAGAGATTCTCGCTGCTAAAAATAACTTGTTACATCATGCATTACAAGTGGGCGGTCTCCACATGCAATGGGTGATTGGTTGGATTGGTTGTTGCTGGGCAAAAAATAACCTACGACGTCAAGAAAGTTTAGGCAAAGGCTGGCCTAGCTCGAGGTAAGGCCAAGATATGTCCTCTCTAGCTAGGCGCTTGGCCCAGGCTTAGGCCTACTAATTAGAGTGTTCCCTTCCCTTTGATGTTCGAGTAACTCTGATTTTTTTTCACTGGAATATGGTTTAGGATAGGTCACTGAATAGTAGGGCAGTTGTTTTAATGCTTCTGCTACCTTGCAAACCGATCGTCATTTTCGTTATTTTCATGCACACAGGAATACCTGGGTATAATCCCACCCCCAAAATAGGGCCAATTTCGCGTTCATGGGGGAGGGGGTATGTGATTATACCCAAAGAACTACGGTAATTACTGCCAAAATGTGTTATTGCATAAAAACTTATTGATCTCAACCAGGTTAGAAAAAATGTAATTTTGTAATTAATGAATGTGTTGAGACGAGGGAGGCGTTTATTTCAAATGAATACGGTATTTGAATCAGCAACCTCAACTTACCTTTGACTTTTCGTTTTTAATTCTGTGTGCTTCGTCTATAACGAGATAACGCCAGTTAAATTTTTTGAAGACTGATTTCTCTCGGATAGTCATCTCATATGAGGTAACACACACATCCCATTCACCGGGCATCATGACGTCTCGTATAAAAGTTTGCTACAAATTTAATAAGGCAAAATTCACATAAACCTTTGAAACACACGTTCTACAACATATTCTATAGTCAATAAGCAAATCTTTAACTACATACAAATCTAGATACATTATTGTTCATCATGTTGAATGTAAACAAATTGTTATAATTTCTTAAAATATAATTTTCAAAATACAATAAAGTCTTATATGTTCTATTGTTAACTGAAATACAGCAGTGACAAGTATCAAGTTTCCAATAAATATGAGTATGTAACATTGACTAAACCTGGGCATAAAAACAAAAGAATACAATAATCTGTCAGTCTCAAAATTGTTTGATCAAACTATCCCTGACATGGCATCAAGCTAAAATTAAAATATTCACACGTCGGTTAATGTCTGTTTGACAATGTTCTACTTAATAATACGTCTAATCAAGCATTGTTGAGGCCGGCAGAAAAAAATCTGACAGACATACATAATCTCTTTTAACACACAACTTTTAATCGAACAATATCTGAGACTCAGGTATCTGATATTGTACAAATTATTTCTTATGTTTCTTAAAAAAATACACACCCTGGTCTCTGCATCCCCAATTAGACAGACACTTCGTAGGGATGGACACCACCGCTCGATCTCTGCCATCCAATTGGCCAATGTTGATTTTGGAACGATGATAAGATGAGGACTAGGAATGTTGCGGTAGTGCTTCATGTAGCCAAGAAGAGAGATGGTTTGCAAGGTCTTACCGAGACCCATCTCATCGGCGAGGATGCCGTTGATTCCATTTTCGTAGAGCGACACCATCCAGTTGAGACCGCGGATCTGATAGTCTCGCATCTCACCTGACTTGATGTAGCTGGGGTTTTTCTCGAACTGTGTGATTACATTGGTCGCTTTGCGTGCTTCCGTCAGCAACTCCTCGTCTTCCTCTTGTTCGGTCATTCGATGACGATGGCTAGAATGTTCAAGGTTAAAGGTTATGCATTTATACGACACAAAATACAAGGGTCTCTAATTGGAAAAACAAGAAAAGAAAAACTCCAAGCCAGCACTTTAATCGCAGTAAAAAGGAGACACAGAACACAGTAATAGTGTGACAGAAAGAAATTTGATTTGACAAAAACATGTGACATGCCTAAATATTGGCATGATGACATCACATCATGACCATATATAGACACATCATGACTATATATGGGCACATCATGACTATATATGGGCATACACCAAAATTTGAGCGTGGACAAGGCTAGGTTATTCACAAGTTACCGAACGTGATCTAGATCACCATACTCACTCTCCAACTGATGATAATTTAGCTCTGTCATCTTTTTTTGAGCGAGGGCGCCCTGGCTTCATTTTTAAAGGACTTGTGGGTGATTTCATGGAGTTTGTGTTGCTCATGAAATGCGTGAAGATCTCTGTCTGCTGCAGCAGGAAATCAAACCGAGATGCTCGATCTCTTTCCTAAAATATACATAAATATAGGAATATTAACTGGTCCTTATGTTAAAATAATATGTGAGAAATAGAATAGAAATTGTTAGCTGTGAATTATATTATCTATTTTTGTGGGAATACCTTGAAACTAACTCAAATTTGTGCAGAAATTTGAACCTACAGTACCATTTTTGTTCACTTGATTTGGTAAATAAACATATTTTTTACTTGAATTGAATTAAAAAAAATGAATTGCACATAGGCCTAAACAATTTTTAAGTAAGTGAACAAATAATTTAAACTTTAGCTTTGCTGTTTTACAGTAGTCAATATACTATATTTCACATATTAAATATACAAAAATACATACCACTTTGGCTTCATATTCCTGACCATCTGGCTTTTCCTTTGCCCCTGGTGGTGTTTTCAGCTTCAGTGTCTTCAGGAAAAAACAAAAAAGATAATGTCAAACTGCAACAATCTCTCATAAATGTAGACACATACAATACAAAAGCACCATAAGAAACTAGCTCAAAAATGCATGGAAAATCGCTAGCTAGGAAATATTGGTGTGCAGAATACTGCATAAATATACTAAGTTCGCCGTGGCTAGCGATATGTTAACGTATCTTAATTTCATTTAGGCCTAAAAAAACTTTACGTCGGCGATTGCCGAATGCTGGCGCTAGTTTTGAGGGCTGCGGTATATTAAGTTTAGGTCAAGGCCAAATTTTCATGAAAATCTGTGTGGAAATCAGCCCTTATTTTCCGAAATGCATGGATGGACGAATTTCTAGGCCTAGGCCTAATTTCTGAGCGGACGATGTAGGCCTATTCCCCGGACCCCGTACAGTCTGGCACTCCTGCTGCTGCATAGAGACTTGCTGAGTCTCTTGTTGACAGACGATTGCTGCAACAAGAGACAATTCAACAACAAACTAGGCTAGGCCTAGAGTAGTAGTACTAGGCTAGGCCTAGCCTAGGCTAGGCCTAGTAGCAAATGTCAGACTGAACCGAACCGAACAAAACTTAATACTACTACGGACCTACTATGCTACGGTACATACACACAATTCAAGCCAATGTTTTATTGAGACCTAGGCCTCTGGGTGTCTGTAGTGCTGCTTGCAACCCTAGACCACTATGTCTAGTTTAGGCTCGAACCTACATTATAGGAAATGTAGGCTTAGGCTACACCAACCAAGGAAGCGTACGCAGTAGCTAGGCTCCTCTTGGTCATCTTGGATGCTTTCCATTCAACAACCGGCGGGTCATCAGTGCAGTGAGGGTAAAATAAAATCAGCATCTAACATCTAACAGCTCTCTGATAAATAATAAAATAATAATGTTGTAAATCACATAAATTACACTTACAGGCTCCTGTACAATGGTTGCAGGCTTTGGTGGACTTTCCACGTCCGACATTTTTATCAGAAGTTTTTTATAGCCTACACAACAAAGATTTCAGAATCGCACCGGACACACAAAAGATGTAGCGGCGAATTACAAATAACCTTTGACCTACTCCAGACGTTGATAAATTTGTTTTAACAATTAATACTTTATTGTATTTTTTAAAGAAATTAATTTCATTTAATAATAGCATACCGTCAGATAATCATTATTCATCCTAAGCTATTACTCTACTTTACCACTTGTTTCATAAATATAATAAGTCTAAGTGAGTGAATGGACCATGTAAAAGCCTAAATAATCCGCGCGCAAAAGGATAATCCTACAGAGGGCGGGATTTTGATTCAATCAATAATACAGTTTGTCAGACAGTTAATAGCTCATGGACTGTGGTATACAAAAAGTATTTTTTGTTTAATCATTATCAGTAATTTTCTTGCATTTGATATGAATAAGTTTCTCATCCAGGCCTACGATGCATACAATACATTAAACATAACTTTGATTGACTTCAAGTTTGCCAACTGTCCAAAACCGGAACACTATTTAAAAAAAAATTTAAAAAAATCCAAAAAAAATTCGTGTACAAAATAAAAGAATAAACTGCAAATAGGCACGTATCATACCAATGTATCCATAAATCACTTCAACAATGACTTATTTTAGGCAAATAGCCCTCTACACAATTCACGTATAAATGTTCAACTCATGTACCCCCCTAGGCCTATAAATGTATATAGCCCTTATGGTTTTTTAATCTTTTACATCGTTATGTATTATAATATTTATAATAATGTGCCCGAATTTCCGTGAGGACAAATAGGGCCTACATTCCGAATCGGTAATCGTCTAACGAAATTAGAATTAAAAACACCGGGAGACAAGGTGAAAATATCCATCTTTGAAAAATCTTTCCCCACCCCTTGACAATGCATCCTCTGAAAGTGCCTAAAATTCTTTGCACGCATTTCTTGTTACTGTAGGCCGATTTTCTCTATAAATTGCACATTTCAGGGAGTTTTCATCAATTCCGACGAAATTAGAATTAAAAACACAAAAATATTTTGCCCGCTTCGCGCGCATTTTTTAGGGATTTTTTAGGTTTATCCTTTTAAGTTATTTAAACACATAATAGTCCCAAACTCAAGAAAGACAAATTTAAGACAGATCGTTTTAACCTAAAAGAAGGACCTCAACGTGTATTGATGGTGAAAGATTATGTTTGTAATAAATAAAACCACGATGAAAATGCTTCTACCGTTTAGTTTCAAACACACGTGTATGGCCTATATTATAAATAAGATATAAGCCCTATGTCGTATTGTTTTCTATATGGGGAGTGGGGTGGGTATGGTAAATTACTAACCGGGAAAATAAATACCCACTCTGACCCAAGACCCCTGTTACGCGCCTGGTGTTAGCGCCAATGTGTACCCTTGTGCGGACCGTGGGGATGTGCCCCCTCTGAAGCTGGAAACCTTGTTTTTGCAAAATAAATTGATGCAATTTGCTATTATAGGCCTAATCAATAAATTCCTCATAAACCGATATAACCTTAAACATTCTTGGAATTGACATAACATTACTGTCGTAGTACACACCTTTCAGTGTGAAATGTGGCTCTCTTTGCAAGCACATCTAACATCTAAGGAAATAAGAGCTTAGATTTGTACCAGATAAAATAATTTTGTGATCAACATTAATACATTATGCTAATTTTCATTGTAAGCGCATAAGGCAGTGCAAATTATTTCTGTGACAGTCTTTTGAAGTGTGTAAAGCTCCATTTTATCCCATACATAGTCAAAATATTGGGGGGGGGGGATGATTCAATGGACCCCTTGTCAAATATTGGGGGGGGATATATCCCCCATACCCCGGGATCTACGCCTATGATCTTACCGGTAACAAATCAAATGTTTACAAACTTGTTTGTGGGACAGGGCTACGTATCTTTGGCCCCACCTTTTGAATAATAATTGATTGATTGGTCAGTTGTTAAGTATGATAGCTAGCTGTAGATTTATATGTGTTGGTTGTTCTTCATAGTCATTTTTCTGGAAACACAGCATATAAGAAAGCTCAAGTCTTCTGCTCAATGTAAATTCCCATACAAAAATTTTCTATAGAATTCTATTAAAAAAATTCTATAGATTTTCTATATAGTATTCTATAGATTATCTATAGAAAATTTTATATAAATTCTATAGAATATTTCAAACAAATTCTATAGAAAATATATAA